GGTTGTAATGATGTTTGTTGTAAACCAGTTAAACAAATTACTGTTCTTACCAAACACACTCAAGAAGAATCTGCTCTTATTGACCTGATTAGTAAATTAGATGATCCAAAATTAAAACAAAAATATATTGATAAACTAAAATCTTTATTAATTCATTCAGATACTAAACCAAAGTTTGACAAACCAATAATTAGTTTATCCAAAACTTTAGAAAAATTTAAAAATAAACAAAAAGACGTCACATTGCAAGACCTCCAACAAGAAATCAATCAGATTAAACAAACAATCAAAGAGTTACAACAAAAAGATAAAAAACTAGAAGATGATATTATTATTTTAAAACTTAATAAAAGTCTCGATAATTTCCAACCTAATGATCAAGAATCTCCACATGAATCTGAACATGATTCTGATCCTAGTCCGGATAACTTAATATTTGATAACCAATCCCGTCCATCTCAATCCAACAATCCTGATGAAAAACGGTTAAGTTTAATTAATAAACTTTTATATTCAAAAATGGTATTCTAAAATCAAAATAATTATCAATGATTTTGAATTAGAATTAATTGCTTTAATTGATACTGGTGCTTATTTAAATTGTATACAAGAAGGTTTACTTCCTACTACATATTATGAAAAATGTCAAGAGAAATTAACCTCTGCTAATGGTAGTAAAATGCATATCAAATATAAATTACCTAAAGTGCATGTTTGCCAAGATAATTTATGTTTTAAAACCTCCTTTGTTTTAGTTACAAATATGACTGATAAAATTATCCTAGGATCCCCATTTATATACTTATTATATCCATTTACTACATCTAGTACAGGAATAACTACACATGCTTTAGGACAACCCGTCACATTTAAATTTTTATCTCCTCCTGAACTATTAAAATTAAATCAATTAAAAGATTGCTCTATTTCTCATACAATTAGTCGATTAACTCGGCATTTAAATTTTCTCAAAGAAGAAATTAATTATGAACGCATTGACCAACAATTAACTGATCCAATTCTTATTTCTCAAATCAATGATTTCAAATTAAAACTTGAATCAACAGTTTGTTCCACCTTACCTACTGTATTTTGGCATAGGAAAAAGCATGTAGTTACCTTACCTTATATTAAGAATTTTGATGAACGACAAATTCCTACTAAATCTCGACCAATTCAAATGAATCATGAATTACTTGAAATGTGTAAAAAAGAAATTAACGAATTATTAAAAAATCGAATAATTAGTCCAAGTAAATCACCATGGTCTTGCCCTGCTTTTTATGTTAATAAAAATGCTGAATTAGAACGAGATGTCCCTCGCTTGGTCATCAATTACAAACCTTTAAATACTGTTTTAGAATGGATTAGGTATCCTATTCCTAATAAAAAAGATTTAATTAAACGCCTGAGTCAAGCTGTTATTTTCAGTAAATTCGATCTAAAAAGTGGTTTTTGGAAAATACAAATTCATCCTCGAGATAGATATAAAACTGCATTTAGCACACCCTTTGGCCAATATGAATGAAATGTCATGCCATTTGGTTTAAAAAATGCTCCCAGTGAATTTCAAAATATCATGAATGACATATTCAACCCATTTAGTCATTTTTCCATTATTTATATTGATGACATATTGATTTTTTCCAAATCAATCAGTGAACATTGGAAACATTTAACTGCATTCTTTTACACAATTAAAAGTCATGGTCTTGTCATCTCTGCTCCTAAAATTAAATTATTTCAAACTAAAGTTAGATTCTTAGGATATGATATTCATCAAAATACTATTTTACCCATTAGTAGATCCATTGAATTTGCGTCCAAATTCCCTGATGAAATTCTGGATAAAACCCAATTACAAAGGTTTTTAGGATCCCTCAATTATATTGCTGAATTTTAAAAAGACCTTAGAAAAACTTGTCAACCCCTGTTTGATAGGTTAAAGGATAATCCTCCTCCTTGGTCTTCTGTTCATACTTCTATTGTTCAACAAGTCAAACAATATGTTAAATCTCTTCCTTGTCTTGGTATCCCTACTGAGAATTCATTCAAAATTATTCAGACTGATGCCTCCGATATTGGTTATGGTGGCATTCTTCTTCAGAAGGTCACTCCTCAATCCTCTGAACAAATTGTTCATTATCATTCTGGTGTCTGGAATAAAGCATAATTAAATTATAGTACTATTAAAAAAGAAATTTTATCTACTGTCTTATGTATTCAAAAATTTCAAGATGATATTTTAAATCAAAAATTTTTACTTCGTGTTGATTGCAAATCTGCTAAATTTATTTTGGAAAAAGATGTTCAAAATCTTGCTCATAAACAAATTTTTGCCCGCTGCAATCCATTTTAAGCATTTTTTATTTTGATATTACTTATATACCTGGTTGTCAAAATTCCCTCCCTGATTTTCTTACCCGAAAATTTTTACAGGGGGGTAAGGGATGACTGCACCATTTACTTCCATAAATCCCGAATTACCTATTTCAAAAACCCAAATTAAACAACTTACCTACCGTATTCCACCGCCTCAAATTATCTAGGACCACTACTTAAAAGAGCCCAATATATCATTTACCATCAGATTCAGCCCGTCGCAATTTACTTGCTCACAACTACAACTGTTTACATCGCCATCAAGATTATTTAGATCTTCTTTCTAGCTGCTAACCATTGTTTCTTTCTCAACAGATGTTTCGTCCAAGGCCTCCCTCCAAGGCTTTGGTCCCATCTTCCAGTAAACCTAATCAACTTATTGTCCCTCCTCCTTTGGAGTCAGTCACCCAATCTCATTCACTTGAAACGGTTAACCGTTACCAAACTCTTGGTAATATCTATCGTTCTGATTACTCATCTGCATTGGCTGCCGATCCCTTTGCATCCAGCCATTCAGTCTCAGTTACTCCATTCCCAATTAACCCCATTAAACCATCCCAATCTGAGTACACCAATTCACATGTTACTAATTTGTTTTACAAAAAACCCAGTCACCCAAACAACCAAACCATTAATGAAATTGCTAAATTCCATTTTGGCTCTGGATGCCATTTCACCCTTTCAGCCAAACCGTCTCACCTTTCCTATATTCTACTCCATCACCATTCAATTTTGATCAAACCAATCCAGGATCGAACCTATGCATACAAAATCCTATATCATTCAATTTATATTCACAACATTGTTTCCATGGCTGAATGGGGAAACCCTAACCAGCTTCGTGATTTACCTGGCCATTCCATTCAATATAATTACCATGATTACGTTGATGCTTGGTTCAAGATTTTCTTGTACCAAAATGAAACGTTCAGTCATTCTTGGTTCATCTCCTTTGATCAAAAATTCAAATCTGAAATACCTACCTGGTTTCTGAGATGGTGGACTCACTATGGCGCCATTTCCGATATCCTCCCTGATGATCTCCGAGAAATAATTCATTATTTTGCCACTGTTTACCCATTTACTGCTCATCAACGACAATTTCCCTTATTACTAATTTTCATATCTAAATACAAAATTCCATGGATATTTAAATGGCAATATGGGATTGATGATAACATCATCATTCGCCAACACACAGTCAAATGGTGGATAAAGTTCAATGTGCCAAGAATTCTTGAAATTGTTTAAGAGGAATTCCCACCTGATCAGTGTGCTCCAACTCCTGCTCTTGCTAAAGCCCAGCAGAACCCAACTGCTGCAATTACTCAAGGAAGTCAACCCAGTCTTCCTGTCACGGCCCCAAACCGCCCCTAGTAGTTTGGTGCCGTGATGGCCAGTAATCCGTAATTACCGAAGGCCAACTTTCAAAAAAACTTACACAATCAGAATATAATATACGGGCTCACAAATGCGGAAGCGATAAATCATAATACAAGTGGTCCATAAGAGCAGTGCATAAGTCAAATGGAATGGCATACATCTTTACAGAGCTTTACAACTTGAACACAATTAAAGCCAAGTACAAAAATACATATTACATCTTACAAAGGGCTTTCACAAGCCGACATAAACAAAATACATGAAATGCAAGTTAAGAAATATAATCTTCGGATTGCCGACATAAACATTGCCGACATAACATGCATCCAAAACATCTTGCAAAACACACATCTCGGCGTAGCCGACTTCTTGCTTGCTACCTACATATATACATAGGGAGGGTGAGCTTGGATACTCAGTGAATGGTATAAGTAATAAAGGGGTTAAATGAATGATTCCCGAGGTCCTTTCAAAACAATACATAGTATATCTTTGTCAAAATCATACATAACATAGCTTAACTGGACTTGAAACAGAACATCACTCAAACCTTGGTCTTTCAAAACTTGCTTGCTTACTTAACATACGTCAACTTAAAACATGGGGTAATGACATTCCAGACAAAACAAACAAAGGTGCCACGAAAGCTTAGAGTCCCCTGGCACGTACGGACTTCACATGTGTGCTACTAATGCTTATAGTCCCTTAGCACGTACGGACTTGTGCCACTAATGCTTAAAGTCCCCTGGCACGTACGGACTTCACATGTGTGCTACTAATGCTTAAAGTCCCCTAGCACGTACGGACTTGTGCCACTAATGCTTAAAGTCCCCTGGCACGTACGGACTTCACATGTGTGCTACTAATGCTTAAAGTCCCCTAGCACGTACGGACTTGTGCCACTAATGCTTAAAGTCCCCTGGCACGTACGGACTTTCAAAGATTGACATTAAAACAAAGCTTATACTTGATATATATAATAGGGATATCATTCATGCTTAACAAATACTTTTATCAAAACAAGGCAAAGCTTTATCAAAACCTTAAGAGCATATCTTTATTAAAAATACCACTCACATAGTTCTTGGGACGTCGGGATTGAGGCAAAGGTCCAAGTCCTACAAACACGTGGCAAAGTCTATTGAATGCACTCTTAAAAAACAAGCTTCTCATGAATGCAAATGATCTAGGGAAAACATGCTGGAAAACATCTAGGGAAAACATGCTGGGAAACATCTAGGGAAAACATGCTGGGTATCAACCAGGTCCTGGGATGGATGCACAGAGATAATCTAGGCTAAAACGACCTAGCTGGTGAACTCAGGAGGTCTTGGCCGAGGTCCCACACCTCTTGGCCGAGGTGTGGTTACCTAGGCTTCAGTATGCAGCTGCCTGCCGAGGTGTTACAAGGTGCCGGCATGGGTGTACCATGGTCGGCCTAGGTGTGCAGTGGTTAGCCTAGGTGTGCATGCAAGATAAACTAACGTGCAAGTGATCATGCAAGGTAGACCAAGGTGTGTGATCTAGGCAAGAGTGGTCTCGGTGATCACACCTAGGGAAATGAAGCCTGGAAATCTGGGCTTCCTCTTTGAAGAACATGAAGAACATGAGCATGAAGAACATGAAGAACATGAATGCTAAAATCATAACTTGTTATTACAAGATCTGGGATTTCATGCTATAAGTTCGAAAACATGGACCTTGGTACCCATACTTGAAAATCATGTGGAAACAAACACAAAAACATGGATCTTGGCATGAGCTTTCGGATCAAAACATGACTTTTCTTGAAGAACACATGAATGCTATTTTCTCTTTCTAAAACCGAACTTCAAAGCAATGCATGGCTTACAAATCATATTCAATCATGCAATGTGATAACATGAACATAAAGAACAACATAAGCAAATCAAGAATCTAACCTTAGAACACGAATCTAACGGTTCGATCTCTAGGGATCAAGCTTGCAAATCTACCCTCCCTCAAGAACTCCTCTCCCTCTTCTAGAGCTTCTCTCTGTCTTCAAAACAAGGATATAAAAAATGATAGGTTTCTCTCTCTGCCGGCTGACTTAACACTCAGCTCGGACACGTGGCGCTACCGGGTTGGTTCTCCACAAAAAGGTGATAGATTGACAAGACAAGATTGACAAAGTGTGCTCAACAAGCTAGATGGCAAGGGAACTCCGGCAAGTAATGATCTCGGCTTAGGACAAAGCTTCGGCAAGTAAGGTTCCAATGACCTCGGCTAGGAAGGATAACACTTGACCTAGTTATGCCACACCTCGGCCTAGATGTGCCACACCTCGGTCTAGGTCATTCCAGTCCCAGAACAAGATCACTAGGTGCAAGGATTAAGGATCTCGGATGCCTAGGTGATAACATCTCAGCCAATATGCCTAGGTGATGGTGGAGGTCACAAAAGCAGTTCCAAGATGGTCCAAGGTGTAAGAGGTTCAAAGGTGTGACCTAGGCTTAAGATGACCACGACTTGGCATGACCACGGCTTGGCATGACCTAGGCTTGCAATGACCTAGGCTTGACATGACCTAGGCTTGGCATGACCTAGGCTTGACATGACCTAGGCTTGGCATGACCTAGGCTTAACATGACCTAGGCTTAACATGACCTAGGCTTAACATGACCTAGGCTTAACATGACCTAGGCTTAACATGACCTAGGCTTAACATGACCTAGGCTTAACATGACCTAGGCTTAACATGACCTAGGCTTAACATGACCTAGGCTTAACATGACCTAGGCTTAACATGACCTAGGCTTAACATGACCTAGGCTTAACATGACCTAGGCTTAACATGACCTAGGCTTAACATGACCTAGGCTTAACATGACCTAGGCTTAACATGACCTAGGCTTAACATGACCTAGGCTTAACATGACCTAGGCTTAACATGACCTAGGCTTAACATGACCTAGGCTTAACATGACCTAGGCTTAACATGACCTAGGCTTAACATGACCTAGGCTTAACATGACCTAGGCTTAACATGACCTAGGCTTAACATGACCTAGGCTTAACATGACCTAGGCTTAACATGACCTAGGCTTAACATGACCTAGGCTTAACATGACCTAGGCTTAACATGACCTAGGCTTAACATGACCTAGGCTTAACATGACCTAGGCTTAACATGACCTAGGCTTAACATGACCTAGGCTTAACATGACCTAGGCTTAACATGACCTAGGCTTAACATGACCTAGGCTTAACATGTCATCCAAAGAAGATATGATCCAGTTAGCCCATCAACTTTTGAATCAAGCTAAAACCCAATCCACCGATTCAGACAGTTCAGAAGAAGCATCAGAACATGCCCACTCCTCTGAAGAATCAACTAATCAATGTTCAGGACCCGAGTTTCAAGATGCTCAGGATCCGTTTGCATGATCAACATTGGATTCCATATAGATACAAATTAGCTTCAGTCAATATTCTTTTGAGAAAAGCTGTCAATTTGTATTTATATTGATTCCATTATTCACATGTTCCACCGAAAGTAATGAATAGTAAAAGTTACTGTTCACTTTTACTGTTCACTGTCACTATTCACCCAGTCAAAAGTAATGAATAGTAAAAGTTACTGTTCACTTTTACTGTTCACCGTCACTATTCACCCAGTCAACTTTTGTTTAAAGCTGCTCAACTATTCAATCAATCAACCGAAAGCAACCGACAGCATTTGCTTTACCCCATGCGCTGCCAGCTGCGTTCATCAGTCCATTGTTGATTTTCTTTTCTTTATTTTGTATATAATGTAATGAACTTGAACTCATTCGGCAGACTTGGAAAATTCTTAGAAACCAATATTCTGAAAATCCAAGAGCTCTAAGAAAAAAACTAACACCTTGTAAGTTTGTTAAGTTTGTTAAGTTTGTAAGTTTGTTAAGTTTGTTAAGTTTTTAATTAAATGTTTTGTGTGTAATTTAATGTGCATTCCTGTTTTGTTCAAATTTATATCATTTTGATTTTGTAATCCATCTCCTTCATTCTCTATGTGCTGCTTTACTTATAATTAGAGTAAACTTTTACTTTGAAACAAAATAAAATTTTACTTACTCTTGAATAGAATAAAGTTTACCCTTACAATCAGAGTAAACTTTTACTTTGAAACAGAGTAAAATTTTACTTACTCTTGAACAGAGTAAAAGTTTACTTAAAATTAGAGTAAACTTTTACTTTGAAACAGAGTAAAATTTTACTTACTCTTGAACAGAGTAAAAGTTTACTTAAAATTAGAATAAAAGTTTACTTACAATCAGAGTAAACTTTTACTTTCAATCAGAGTAAAATTTTACTTTGAAACAGAGTAAAATTTTACTTACTCTTAAATAGAGTAAAAGTTTACTTAAAATCAAAGTAAAAGTTTACTCTTACAATCACAATAAATTTTTATTTTGAAACAGAGTAAAATTTTACTTACTCTTGAACAGAGTAAAAGTTTACTTAAAATCAGAGTAAAAGTTTACTTACAATCAGAGTAAACTTTTACTTTGAAACAGAGTAAAATTTTACTTACTCTTGAACAGAGTAAAAGTATACTTACAATCAAAGTAAAATTTTACTTTGAAACAGAGTAAAATTTTAATTACTCTTGAACAGAGTAAAAGTTTATTTAAAATCATAGTAAAAGTTTACTTACAATCAGGGTAAACTTT